AAGCTCAAATGGTCGGTCGACCGGTGCGGTCGACCGAAAACTGGATACAGCAGAAAAAACGATATGCTGATTTTAAAACACTGTTTAAAAATATCAAAAATAAATTCAGAAAAATGTAAACTTTGGCGGGAATGATTGTAGACATGATATGACACATGCTACAAAAAACTGGTTTTCTAAAAAGACTCCCAAATGAGAATACCATCAATTTTAAAAAATAGTCCAAACAGAGAAATGTAAACATATGATCTTGACATTTTAGCTTAACCAGTTTTGAAACATTATAAAATGATTTTGTAGACTTAATAAAAGATGATATTGATTATTGTTAATCTATAAACCAAGAAAACAATAATTTTCACAAATACAATAGAAAGTAAAACGTATGAGTATGTATATGAAAATATATTGTGTTTCATATCTATGAAATTAAACCAAAACAACTTATCCACATAGAAAACAAGCATGTATACACATTTTTTGCGAATTTATTTTGTAAAAACTTTGTTTGTGGATAAAACTAAAAACCAAGATGTATATGTATATAACTATATAATATATATATACTAAGAAACTAATAAATATGTGTGTGAAATATAATATTGAGCTTAGAGGATATAACACACATAATATAAACCTATACTAAATATACCCAAGCTTGATCTTGATCTTCATTGAAGCTCAACTTGGGTAACACATGCGCGATGAAGCTGAACTTGATCTTTAACTATGAATTGCTTGTTGCTTCACTCCACAATTCGCCAACCTCCTTTGATATCGTCGTTATGCGCAATCCATCCATCCTCCATCAAGTTGTTTGTCATAGCAATGAATAGATAACACAAGGCACTAGACAAACAACATTAGTTATAAATTGTTTGTTAAACATCATCAAAACAAGAAGACCAACAGTTTATGCGTGCATGAACTGACTCTTGTATGTAACATGGATTCAATGTTCTTTATTGGATTTGGGCTAGAACTATCTTAGCATTTGCATCCCAAGGGATTATTGACTGGGACACTTTTCTTAATCCATGAATTTTTATTTCTCGCACCCATGCAAGTAAGAATATGCATGGTTTGATAATCATATCTTTGATCTGAGAATCCGACTGACAAATGTCAAATGATAGCATGATCTAAAATGTGTTGAGAGTAATAATGAGCAGCAGACATGTAATTTAATGTCTAAACCAGCAAAAAATATTAACTTCATTTTGTCCATTCACTTCTTTTTTCAGGTTTTTCAAGTTACTATTTATTTTCCAGATGATTCAATTGTGAAGTTTATGTAGTTGAGCCTCTTAACCTTCTTAATTTTGATGAGCTTTATGTTTTTTCTTGAGTGCTACTAATGATCTATGTAGGAATACTTCTTTTTACCATGAGTTAAATGATAGGAAATACCCAATGTTTTGTAAGATAAGATCAAGACAACAATGTTTAGAAAAGGGGCACAAAGGCTTTAGTAAACATATGTTTATCCATAAAGGTTCAGTTTGTTTTTTATTCATATTGATTGCAGAAGTGACATTTTACTAAAGTATACTACTTATAAAATGAAATATATCTAGATATTAAACTGTTTGTGCACTATGTAATATTTGTCAATGCAGACATCTAACATATATAGTATTATTAATAAATTTAGTAGTCAAATTTTGTTCAATTATATAGGTATATTAAAATATTGTTATGTTAATTAGTTTAATATATTTCATATACCTTATAAAAATATATCAATATAATGTTCATGAAAATGTTTGAGAAAGAAATTTAAAATATAACACAAGTAGGTCCATATGCAACGCATATCTATTCCTCTACAATAATGGGAGGTCCGAAGAATCACTATTCGTGTTACAGTAAATGTTACAGTAATTTACTGTAGCATTTTCAAAAAAAAATATTACTGTAACATATGCAGGATACTATAGTATTATTAAAAAATTGCTGCAACATTTTAAAATATATTATAGTAACATAGATGGGATACTGTAGAACTTTTTAGGGGCTGTTTTGTTGTTTTCCAAAAAAATCGGAAATGAAAAACTCACATTTCAACTCATTTCAAGAGATTTCAAGATATTTTTCGCATTTCTTTTTTTATTTGTTTCGTAACGAAATCATAGTCACGTCATCGTCATGTCATATAAGAAACAAATCAAGCCGCAATAGTAACAGTGTTTCGATTTCCATTTCTTGTGTTTGTTTGAATATAAAAAAAGGAAATGGAAATCAACCACAATAGTAACAGTGTTTTCAGTAATTAAATAATCTGTTTTATTCACTGTCACTGTTTTAACAATGTTTTTAGTAATTAAAAATTCATTAAAGTGACATTTCCAAGTGTTTTGAGAGGTTTTTGGTGTGAAAACACTTTTCTCAAAAATCTGATGTGACATCCTACGTAGCATCCTCATTTCTTTAAATCACAAAACGAAACAAACATGTGATTTAAAAATCGGTTGAAACCAAAATCCTACGCGGCAGGGGGGATTTCTTGAAATCTGAGGTGGCGGGGGGTTTTCTTATTTTTTAGCAAACAAACAGTCCCTTAAAAAAATTCTGTAGCATTTAAAAAACATATTTTTGTATCATGTAAATAATATACTATAGCAATTAAAAATGAGATTACTGTAGCGATAAAAAAAAGGAGAAGCCGTGATTCGCACTGGGCGCACACTAGCGCATTATACCGGTGAACCTAAACGCAACCACAAATTCTGCTGGGTCCTTGATCCTTCTATTGCTTTTCTCTTTGGTTACGTTTGTTTCTACGTTCATCCGTTACAAAGTATTGCAATCATGGAAATAATTTCCAAAATAATTTGTGAACCCAACTTCTCTTTGGTCCACCATTTAACATTCTGTCCCGTGATTTATTGATCCTAGAAAATCCAAACTTAGAAATCCTTGTCATGATATAGTTCAGGATTTTCTTTTAACTAGCACATCCTTTAATTAAGAAAGGACACTTTACCTAATCAAGTTCACAATCCAATTTTGTGCGCGTTTGGTTGGCGAGACACATGCATGGGCCGTCCATTGGTTGGTGCACATGGAGATTAGGGTTCAGTCAAACTTTAGAGCTTATATTTTCAAGTGAGCCTTGATTTTTTTTTATGATTGAACAAGAGGTGGAGATTTTCTACAATTTTGGGTCTTCAATTAAAAAAAAAAGATTTCTATTGTTTGATTTCTAGTTAGGCAGTATTCTAATCTACTATTTAATTATTTGCTACTTATTATTGGAGATCTTTTAATGGATTCAGTTGGGATAGTTTTAGTGAGTAGTTGGCCGAAACTTGGTTTGGTCACGTTACAAATAAGATTCTAGATTTGATGATGATAGTATTTGTATAAACCATTCAGCCTCCTAGAGATTATTCAATTGGAAATTTGAAATACACATTCAAATCTGATTGCTTGTTACGGCGATGCTGGAATTTATTCATACTTTAATATCTCAGTTCATTTCTTTCCGTTAATTCAATTTCTTCATTTATTCCTAAAGGACAATAAAGTCATTTCTATTTCTATAAGGGATAAATTAACATTAAAAAGAAGTATAGATGTGATATAGCCTATCATTTATTTTAGGGTAAATTTCACGAAACCCTCTAAGAAATTTGACCCATTCTCAGATTTCCCTTTTTAAGAATTTATTTCAAATCTTCAGGTTTTTTGAAATTTAGATATATATCCCCTTGACTGCGAGCAAGCTAATTGTCTAATCATAATGATCTACAAATTTGACGGATGGTTCTGAGAATCTGAATTCTCTTATATGTTTTAAAAAAACGTATGATTAACGGTCAAAATGCCTCCCCTCAAGTCAAAATATAAAGCCTTTCTAATTAATTTATTAAAAAAGAATTGGTGTTAGGGTTTGGAGAGAGAAAGGAGGAGGAGGAAGAAGAGCAGTTTATTTATAAACTGTCTAATGTCTGTCTGTATGTTTTTGTAAAAGAAATATTAAAAAGAACGCAAAGTTTTTTTTTGGATTAAGGAGTATTTTCATCATTTTAGGAGTCATTTGAAAAAAATTTCGTGTTTAGTGAAAAAAGTTTAGCGCTAAATTGTCAGATTGATATTCTAGTTTGATCTTATTTTTCAATATGATATTTATTTTTTAGAATTGTATTTTTTTGGAAAAATTTTCATCCTACCAACGTATAAAAATTATTATCCCCTCCTTGTTCATCCACCCCTAATTCAAATTTCTTTCACCATTTTACCCAATAAGATCCTTCTCCTCCTCTCTCTTTCAAACTCTTCCTATTCAAATCTAAACATGTTGGAAGCTACAAACTCGGTGTTGGTGGATGCACTAGTTTGTTAGAGTTTGTTGTTCACTCGTTCTTTCAATTTACTTTGTTTTAGTTTCAAGTTAATAATTCTTAGTTTGTAGGATAAAGTTTGTTATTTGAGAACAAGTTTGTTACTTGACTATTTCTCAATTTGTTAGGATCACAATTAGGTTGTTAATCGTGATTGAATTAGTTTGTTTTAAAATTCCTTGTAAAAGGCTATTTAAGCCTTCTTTTGCTTCAATGAAAATGTGTAGTACATTCACCAACTTTTGTGAGTTTACTACGTACAGAGCTTTGATAACCTAACATGTGATATTAGAGCAAGGGAAAGGGGGCC